TATCCCGGCCCAGAAGGGGCCCCACCACCACTCCCGCAGGCCCCTCTGGGGTCCCGTGCCCCTTCGCCCCAGCCTGTGCGCCCTGCTCCTCGCCCACCCATCTCAGGCCTGGCAGTGGCGTGGAGGAGGCTGCAGAGGCCCAGAGCTGATGGAAGGCCTTGTCTGGCTCACTGCCCTGATGATCCACGTGCCCTTCCCGGCTCCATCCGGCCAGGCCCTGGGCTGACACAGGAGGCCCTCTGTCCCCCAGGCAGAGATGAGGGGCTGCACCTCCCCACAGGCTGACCCTCAGTCCCAGGACCCGGGAAGGACCCACACATCCCTCACAGGGAGGGTGGTCGGCTCCCCTCCTGGGGAACGAGGGGCTGACATGTCTCCCCTGCCACCTAGAGACTTGCATCAGTGCCTGGGACTGGCTGCCTCTGCCACTGGGGAGGGGGCTGAGGATTGCTTTGAACAGTCTCGTGGGGAGTGGAGGTTCTTGTCCCTCAATGTCCCCTCCCCTCCTGAATGCAGGAGGCCCTGGCAGAGGTCCCCAGACCCAATTCTGTGCCAATAACCTCTCCCTGTCTGATGGAGCAAGGGAGCCCCAGGCCTCCGTGGTGACCTCGCAGACCTTGAGCACATCCCAGGAGGGCAGGAGGCAGGGGCTCCAGAGAAGGATTCAGAGACAATTCAGGGCTCCTCTCCAACTCCCCTCCTCGCCAGACTCTGGTCCCTACTCCATCAGCCCCACCTCTGGGCTTCCCAGAGAATCACAGCTGCTCAGGCCCAAGCCCTCGGCTCCAGGAGGAGACTCAGGGCCCAGCACCAGGTCACTGGCAGCAGGCTGAAGACACTAAAATCCTGACCTGTACCTTGCCCTGGCCTTTGACCCTTTGCCTCCCAGTGGTATCTGAATAAAGTATGTAGCTCTATCTGCCCCCTCTTCCTGTTCTGCAGCCCCTTGAGCCACATGTAACTCATTGCTGTCCCCTCTTATTTATCTCAGTAGTCCCCTCTCTCCTAGCTGCTCTAGCCCCTATTAACTCTGCCGTAAGCATTCCACGTAATAAAATTAAAGGTTCCGGTTACCTGCTTGGAGGGCCTGGCCGGCCTGTCTCTTGGTCTCTTATCCCCGTACCTTGCTTCCTGAAACGCTTCCTGGAAGTAGGTAGGAATAGGACACTAAAGGTGGGTAACACAAAGACGAGGACCACGGGGCGGGTTAGGACAGTGGCATCCCGTGGGGTCAGTCTGCTCAGGGACCAAGCCTTTCCCCACCCCACTGGGCCCCACACTGCCAAGTGCCCCTCAGCCCCTCATTGCCTTGTAAGCCGTCCCCTGCTCACCCAGCAGAGGGGACTTTGCAGAGTTCCAGAGACAGGTATTGAAAAGGAGGAGGTGGGTGAGAATGGGTGGTCTGCAGTCGGAAGTCCAGTCCTTCAAGATGTGTGAGTGGCCCCCGCCACTAGCCCGCCCCCACACATGGACTCACACAGAACACTGGCGGAGCCCAGCCTCCACAGCAGCCACCCGTGTCCAGGCCACATGGAGGATGTCAGACACACAATCTAATCCTCAAGTGCTTACGCCTAAGAGCCCTCTCCTCCGAAGTCCAACCTGCACTCGGGCCCAGATCTACTCCCCCTTGCAAGCATACGACTCCAGGGGTGGGGAACCTCTTCTCGCTCCACTGATGGACGGCTGTGGTAGCCGGAAGTGCTCCCTTAAGCCCAGCTCACTTGATAGCCAGCGCTACCACGTACGGAGCGCTGCCGGTCCAGCGCTTTGGTGAGTGTGTGATGTCACCCAGGCCTACAAGGGAGTGGGCTGACCATCCCCATTTCCTAGAAAGGGAAGCTAAAGCTTTGAGAGGCCGATGCTAACAGGCTGACACTGGCCTGGTGGTTAAGGCAGCTGGGTCTCACACGGCCGACCACATGGTTTGAGTCCTGGATCTGGAGGCTTGAGAAACATGCCAGACATAAGTGTATGTGTGCCCAAAACCCCAAAGGGAGGGAGATGAGTGGGGAACCTCTTCTCGCTCCACTGATGGACGGCTGTGGTAGCCGGAAGTGCTCCCTTAAGCCCAGCTCACTTGATAGCCAGCGCTACCACGTACGGAGCGCTGCCGGTCCAGCGCTTTGGTGAGTGTGTGATGTCACCCAGGCCTACAAGGGAGTGGGCTGACCATCCCCATTTCCTAGAAAGGGAAGCTAAAGCTTTGAGAGGCCGATGCTAACAGGCTGACACTGGCCTGGTGGTTAAGGCAGCTGGGTCTCACACGGCCGACCACATGGTTTGAGTCCTGGATCTGGAGGCTTGAGAAACATGCCAGACATAAGTGTATGTGTGCCCAAAACCCCAAAGGGAGGGAGATGAGTTTCAATGTGAACTCTCCCTGTGGGAACTGCTTTCTCCCCCTCCCCTCTCTGGGGAGCACACATGCCCTCTTAAAAAAATAAACAGTGAGACGTCAATGCTAAGAAATGGTGGCAGAACCTGAACCCATTCTGATCCCAGAGCTTGCTCTGTGACCTTCTCCTCCACCCTCTCCTCCACCCGCTGGTGGTGCAGGCCCTACTTCCACACTCAGTCTGGGGCTCCGCCTCTCTGCTGCTCCCACCCCTCCGACACCTCCGACCCCTCCTCCCAGTTAGGACTTGGCTGTGGGTGCAGTAGCCCAGGCCCCCTGGGGTTGCCACACTGCCTCTACCTGGAAGCTGCATCCTACAAGGCCTTCAGCTCTCCCCACCCCACCCCCCCACGCTGTTGAACTCTGCCCCTTTAGACACGTTTACTTGAGCTGTTCTGGGTTTCAGTTCGGGGGCATGTGGGCCTTTATACCGCCTAACAGACTTCATCGTGTTGGGGTGGACCCACCTCCCTCCCGGACTGCCTCTCAAGCCTCAGTTCCGCAGGGCTGCATGTGTAGGACCCGCATGATTGCCCTCTCAAGTCCCTACTCGAGGGTGAGATGAAGAGGGGCGTGGCCCTGAGCAGACACTAAATACCGCCCCCTCACCAATTCTATCTACACAGGGAGCAGAATCGGTTCTGAAACCCTTATTAATCACATCACGCTTCTACACGACAGCCATGTGGAAGCTGCCCGTGCCTGGCCAGTCAGGATTCACTGTGGCATCCCCCATCAGTCACCGTCACAGAACGGAAATGGGGTCACCTACACTTCTGGCTCACAGAAAGCTTCTGGAGGCTGCTGGCGCTGCTCTGATGAGCCGAGTGCTGTCTACTCTAGAATTGGGGATCCCCCGGCACACACCTCCCCCTTCACTGCAAGGCAAGACGCCCCACTTCCTAGCTCCTGCTCCCAATGGGACGGTGGTCACAGCAGAGCAGGGAGGAGAACACTCATAGACTGGGAGATGGGTGGGGATGGGAGCAGTTTGGGAGAGGACAAAGGATCCCAGAGAAGCCATAAGCCCTGGGCTGTGCATCTCAGACCCAAGGTCCTGGAGGTGCTTCTAGATGGGGTGAATGAGACCATGCCCGAGCCCTAAGGAACAGGTGCGGCTGGTGATTTGCCATTCAAGAGAAGTCATGACCCAGGCCCGGCCAGCAGAGTGTCAAGGGGCTCCTAGGAGTGGGATAGAATGGGAAGGAGGTGAGAGGAAAAACCCACTTTTCCTCCCATTTCCCTTACACCCTATCCCCTAAGGGTTAACCCCCCACTCCCTCCTCCTGCACCCAAGCCCCATCTCCCTTTAATCACATCTGATACTGAGCGGCCCAGCAGGGAACAAAGAGACCATTTAGAGAAATGGGGCCGAGAAAATGACCCCCGCACTCTGGGGCGGCTGCCTGGATGCCGGCACAAAGGCGGCATTTCAGAGCTGAAATTTCAGCACCCAACTTGATTAAAGGATTCCACAGGCTTGGAGGGTGGTGAAGGGGGTGCGAAGTCTGCTGCTCTGAGTTAACCCTTCTCCAGAGCAACAAGCACCCCTCCCACTCATGTGGATGCTCATCACCCTACCTGTCCAGGGTGCAGCCCTCCCCGGGGCCCTGCCTCCTGCAAGCCTGGCTCCTCCTCTCACTAGAGGGGAGCACGCGGGAGTGCCACCCACCCGGAATACTCAGGGAGCCAACTCTCCTGTTGGTGTCACACAGCTTCTCCAGGTCCCAAGGAACGAGGAGGCACCTCAGGCTGCGTAAGCAGGGTGGAGAAGAGGACCCTTAGCACCTAAGGCAGTAACTTGACCCTGAACCCAACAGCACCCACTCAAGGCCTGAGGATCGTGTCCCCCAAACAAAAGGAAAAGGACATCTTTCAGGGCTGGGGAGGAGGCCGTGGGTGTGGCAGACAGGAGTGGGCCTCAGAGGGCAGTGTGTGGGCAGTGGCCTGAGGAGGGGTGGGTGGGGCAGGAGCAGGCAGGTGCTGTGTCCTTGCTCCAGCTGCTGGGCTCTGGAGGAGGGTAGGGGATCACGGCACCCCCCACGCTTCCTGCTGGGGCACTGCTCCTGAAAGGGGATCCGCGCCCTCGATAAGAAGCTCCAGGCAGGTCCTTGGGAAACAATGGGTGGCTTGATGAGACCTGCTCTGTGATACTCCTGAGAAGGGAGAAGCCCCTGCAGCAGTCCCCACTGGAAAGGAAATTGGGAGTTTCCGTGGTAACCAGCTCCCTGGGCACAAAGACCCGTCTGTCTGCGGGGAAGGCAGCTGAGGTGTCCCCTGCAGCAGCCCTTGCTCTGGAGGGAGGGATGCAGAGATCCACGGCACGAAGGGTCCCCAGTGCTTCTTGACAAACTGACAGTCCCGGGGCCCCCGGGATGGGTGGGTGCAATGGGCCGCAAGGAGGTAACAGAGGCAGCGGCGGTGGGCCGCAGACAGCTGGGTGGCAGGCGGAGGGGCTGAGAAGTTTATTATTTACACATAAAGTGGGGAGAGAAACCGCGAGGTCGGGAAGATCAGTCGGTGATGATGAGCTCGTCCACCCCCCAGTCCTCATAGCTCCCGTCGGGCAGGTAGCGGCGAATGATGATGGGGATCTTCCGGGCCCTGTGCAGGGGAAGCCAGGCCATGAGCTCCGCAGCACGCCGTGCAGGGGTCTCTGGGGAGGATGAGCGTGCGGGGAGGACAGGAATTCTGGGGGAGGGCATGTCTCTGCCCCTCCAAACGTGGGGCGGAGGGGCTAGGAGGGCTCTGCCGTACTGGGGTGCGAGGAAGGGCCTCCAGCAGAACAGGGAACTCTGACAGCCGGGAGGGGTCCAGGGCTCGTCGGCATGCTCCCCTGTCCTGTCCCCTCCCACCTGGCAGGCTGGCTCCTGAGTGAATGAGGGGTCTACACGGGGTCTACACAAACGAGCACCAGTTGGGCCAGCCGGGGTGGTGGGGCGGAGGGTGGGGCCTCCCGAGCAAAGGAGCAAGTATGGCCTGGGCGACTTACTTGAGTTCCTTCATAGCGATGAGCAACGGGTCCGTCTCGCCCTCCAGCTCCACCATCACGGGGGCACACATCCTGCAGGTGCACACATCGGGGTTCACTCCTGTGCATCAGGGGAGACCACACACAGGGAGAAGGGTCCACAGGCGGGGGCAGGCCGGACTCCTGGTCTTCACCTAGAGGGTCGCCTTCCAGGCAGGCAGGCGTGGGGGGCCATGGTATGCCAGGCACTGCCAAAGTCCACCCCCAGGGCTCTCCTGAGCCCACAGCAAGGCGCTGTCCCAGCAGGACGGTGGTATGTGTGCAGGCACACTGCTCTGACCGCTCCAGGCCAACCCAAGCCCTGCCTCTGTGCCGAGCTTGCCTTGTAACCCTCCATGTGGCAGCAATGTCACCGTGGGGTCCTGCTCTTCCAGCTTGGCCCCCTTCCCAGCCTCCCCCGGGACCTGTGGTCAGGGTGCTCATCTCCTCACTACCGTTCCATGAGCTCCCCCACACAGGTCAGAGCCCAGCCTGGTCACTCCTCTGGCACCTTCCCTTCCCCTGCCACTTCCCTGCATTTATCCCATACTGCAGCCACCCTGTTTACGGCTCCCTGGCCACAGCAGGCGGACTCCCCTCGTCCTCTGACACCTCTTCTCCTCCCTAGAAGCCTGGGGGCTCAGACGCCAGCACTGTGGAAACCATCTGCTGGACTTTGGCCCCCAATTCATCTGCATGTGCTCCAGCCTCAGTGGACCGATCACATGACTGGAATGTTCTCACCTTAGACCACGGGTTCCTGGTGGCCCAGGACCACACGCGATTCCCCACAGGGACCTGGCCCCAGCACAATACCTGGCCTGCAGCAGAGGCTCCAAAAACGAACAAGGGATGCCAGTTCCAGGCTCACCTCCTGGAGGAGCCACCCTAGACTACCCCAGCTCAAGTCTCCTGGGTCTCCAGACCCTCTGAAGATAATTTCCAGATCAGGGGCCTGATAGCCTGCGTTTGTGAAGCTGCTCGGCTCTGGTAATCAGCCCGTCTGAGAGCCTCGGGCTACTAATTTTATTACTAACCATGCTGGTGTCTGTTACTCCCAAAAGCCTGAAAATTCCCCAAGAGCAAAAACCAGGTATTTAACTTTTCCCACATCCTAGCTCTGCAAGTATTTAAATGTCCCCAAGATACAAAGTTTCAGAGAAAGTGGCAAAAAGACGCTCTCCTTGACCTGCATACGCCTTCGTTCTCCCAAGAGATGAACGGTTCAAGGGTGTTCACTCAGCGGCGGCCACGTGCATGTGCCCTGCCAAGTGCAAGCGTGCCCTGATATGATGTCTCACTCACGGGCTCCACGGAGAAACACCGGGACATCCGGCCTGGACTCGATGTGACCGGCATCAGCCACCAGGTGGTGCTAAAGACCCAAATGAAAGTTCACCCAAACCTGCCGGCGGGGTAGTTCCTGCACCCAGGGTGTGCAGGTCACCAGCCTTGTGCCTGCGTGAGACAGTCTGCTGCCCACGGTTACAGCTGGCAGGGCACCACCAATGGCGTCCTAGCCCTTAGTCAGAAGGGGCACTGCAGACGAGGCCAAGCTGGGCGGACCTGCCCCCCAACCCCAAGACAAGCAGGACTTGGACTTGGGAGTGGTTTGGGTGTGGGCCTGAGAACCTTTAACTGCCCCACGCAGCCCACCAATCAACACCCACCTTCTGAACCTGTTACGGCACTCGCGACATATTTACCAGCCCTGTGCCCCAAGCTACTTGCCGTCCTGCCCCAGCACAATCCATACTTGCCAGCCCCCACCCGGCCCTCTCCCTGTGGTTCCTGACACCTGGGACTAAACTGCCTCCCGCTTTGTTCTCGCCAGGGTTCCAACCGCCCCGTGAAGCCTTCCCAGTCACCCTCTCCTTTTTCGTGTCATCTCTAACCACTGTCTGCCCTGGGTTCTGGGTGTCTGTGTGCAGGCCTACTCCCCACCAGAAAACCCCCAAGGAGCTGTCTGTACACTTGTCACACTCACAGTGTCACGCGGGCACGGACTCTCGCCCGCACTGTCACTTGCACACAGTAGACTACTTGTTCAAAGAGCGACTTGTGAGTTGTTCTTCCTGCTGGGTCACTTTGTCTCAGATGAGCGTGGCCCACAGAACGCCCCATGACAGAGCTGTCCTGTAGCCATGCTATCGTACAGTGACCTTTAGCCACATGTGGCTACTGACTGCAAGGGGGCTGGCGAGGTCTACACTGAGGAACGGGTGAGAACAGGGCTGCCCACACGAGACCTGGTATGGACCAGGTTTGTTCGTCACACTGCCCCCACGGGACTGCAGGAGACAGAAGGCCAGTGCTGAGTACCAGGGCAGGAAACACAGACACACCATGGCTGCGCCAGCAGGCCGGACTCAAACCTGGCCTGGCTTTCTTTTCTAGCCTCGCTTCCTACTCCCTGGCCGACAGACCCTTCCTCCAGCACACACTGCTTTCCGACTAGCGTGGAAGCCTGAGGGGGGGGCTCCTTCCCGTGGCCTCCTGCTGCCCAGCACAAGGCCTTCCTTTAATGTTCCTCCCCAGGAATGAGCAGAAACTCATCTGAAGGAGCCGAGAAAGCAGGCCCAGCCTCTTCAAGAAAAGTGTCTGCCGGCAGAGGTGCCGTCCGGCCTGTCCTCTGCAGCCACATCTGGAAGGCCACACTCCTGCGGCTACCTGGGTGAGTCTGCAACTGTCCGACACCTGGACCCCCACCTGTCTGCTGGCTCTCTGAACCTTGTTGTCCTTCCCAACTTAGGAGAGGAGATCCTACGCATTTCCAAATGCCCAGAAGCCTGCTATCCTCTGGGCCTTCACAGCCCTCCCTGCCGCGCGGGGCTGGCTGGTCTCCCTCATGTCAAAAAGCCCCTTCAGCCCCATCGGTACTTAACCAGCACACGGTCTGGGGCTCTCTGAATCCACACTTTCTTGTCCTCTCACCCTGCAGTCAACTACCGCGTTCTGGGTTTTCCACGTTACTTTTCTGCTCTACTGTTCTGACTTCGCAGAAGTCCGTGTCCTAGTTGTGCTCTTAGACCACAAGTGCCCTGAAGGCAGGAGTCTAGCACAGTGCCTGGCACCCAGGGACAGAACTAGGTCTGTTCAGAATGTGAGAGCGTGGAGTCTGCTTCCACAGCCAGTGGGGCAGCATCAGCAGCTCTGGGCTCACGGCTGCCTGACCAATGGGGACAGTGACAAGGTACACTCACGCGATCTGGAGCGCTCGGGTGCCCAGCACGCGGGCCCGCTCATACTTGGTCATGTACGGGGTGGTGATTCGCTTCTGGTTGGCCTGTGGTCGCTCCCCAGAGGGGAGGATCTCGACGTTCTCTTGGCCCTCCTGGATACCGGGACAAAAAGAGAAAAAATATCTCAGGGTGTGTTTGTGGGGGGGAGGTGTGTGCTGACTGTTCCAGTCTGTTCTGTCGCAAATAACAGAAAATACCTGAGTCTGGGTAATTTCAGAAACTAGAGGTTTATTTGGATCAAAATCTGAAGTCCAAGGCCCAGAGGCCATAGCGAGGATTTCCGAGCTGGTGAGGTGAAGGCCCGGCAGTGTCATGTCACGAGAGAACCAGAGTGTGCATGTCGGTGTCCACGAGTGTGTATCCCGATCTATTCTCCGTCCTGACAAACCCACCAGGGCCATCGCAGGGGCCCCACCCTACTCGCTTTGATAATGCCCAAAGGCCCCACCTTTCAACACCACAAAGAAATTAAGCTTTTTCTTGGTATCTTCACAAACACGCAGCGCTAGCACATGAATCTGGGGGAGGAACGGCACAGAGGGTTGTAGGAGAGTAACGTCTCTAATAGAGAATGAGGTCACCACACGCTCACTGAGTGCTTTATGTCAGGCAGGGTCGGACAGCCAGCCCTGAGGGCCTGGGATGGATCAGTGCGGAAGACAGAATAGTGACTTCCCCTAGAGCGTTGACCCCGTAACGCGAAGAGACACAGGAGCAAAATCAGTAAGTAAAACATGTAGTATTAAAACAGAGCAGACAGGGACCAGCAGTTAGTGTAATGGCTATGTCGCTGGACTCCCACACAGTCGACCGCGGTTCAAGTCCTGGACCCAGTGGCTTAAACTCACGCCGGGCGTGTGTGCGTGTGTGCCCAAGATCCCAAGAGAAGAATGGAGAAGGGATTGTGCATGGCCATCCCCCCTGGGGGGTGATTTCTCACTTTCTGTCTGGCCCTCTGTCTGTCTGTCTGGCAAGCGCACGCACCCTATAGCAAAAACCTCTCCAAAAAAAAAAAAAAAAAAAAAAGAGCAGAGCAGACAGACAGGGAGCGCCAGGGTGCCAGGGGTGAGTCAGGGAGAAGTGCTGCAACTGTAAACAGGACTTGTCACGAAGGCCTCAATGGGTGACATTTGGACAAAGCCCTGAAGGAGGTGGGACAGTGGGCCATGGGTGTATCGAAGGGAAAAGGATTCCTAGAAGAGGGAACAGCACAGAAAAGCTCCTAAAGAGGAGTCGGCCTTGGGAACCAGCAGTTAGCGTAATGGCTATGTCGCTGGACTCCCACGTAGTCAACCGCGGTTTGCGTCCCAGACCCGGTGGCTTAAAACTCACGCTGGGCGCGTGTGCGTGTGTGCCCAAGATCCTGAGAGGAGAATGGAGGAGAAGGGATTGTGGTGTGACCATCCCCCCTGGGGGGTGATTTCTCGCTTTCTGTCTCTATGTAT